ATCCTGTGATGATGCGAATGAACCAACATATTAAAACAGTGAAATCAATATTGACCGAAATATACATAAACACCCTCCTTTTCTAGGTCAAATACCATCACCAAGTCAGTAGGTATTTGTTGAACATTACTCTAATCCCGACATACGGAAAACAACCATGTCATTGACTAACGCTCACACATAGTGAGCTGGCAGAATGCCTTGAAATACCAAGTGTACTTGTGCAGATTCATACAGGACGACACTAGTGTCTTGGGTTTGAGACCACATGAAGATGGTCAGTTTGTGACTAGTGATTGGAAAAAGAGCACAAACGATCATTACACCCCCCCCCCCCTTCCCAACACGTAAATGTTGAAAGTGGAGGAGGAGGATGAGGAGAAGAAGAAGAAGAAGAAGAAGAAGAAGAAGAAAAAAAAGAAGAAGAAGAAGGAAGAAGAAGAAGAAGAAGAAGAAGAAGAAGAAAGAAAAAGAAGAAGAAGAAGAAGAAGAAGAAGAAGAAGAAGAAGAAGAAGAAGAAGAAGAAAAAGAAGAAGAAGAAGAAGAAGAAGAAGAAAGGGAAGAAGAAGAAGAAGAAGAAGAAGAAGAAGAGAAGAAGAAGAAGAAGAAGAAGAAGAAGAAGAAGAAGAAAAAAAAGAAGAAGAAGAAGAAGAAGAAGAAGAAGAAGAAGAAAGAAGAAGAAGAAGAAGAAAGAAGAAGAAGAAGAAGAAGAAGAAGAAGAAGAAGAAGAAGAAGAAGAAGAAGAAGAAGAAGAAGAAGAAGAAGAAGAAGAAGAAGAAGAAGAAGAAGAAGAAGAAGAAAAAGAAGAAGAAGAAGAAGAAGAAGAAGAAGAAGAAGAAGAAGAAGAAGAAAAGTGGGAAGATCCACCCAGAGTTAGCTTTTCCTTTCAGTAACTTCCTGTTAGCACTTCACTTCCTTTTTCAAATCAGACACCGTTGAGAAAGGAAACAAGTGTCTTCTCTCCTCGACTGACTTAGTTTACTACAGATGGTAGTCAGTGCTGAAGTCTAAATGTCTGATTAAAATCCCTACCAGGGGAGGGTGAATATTTAGTATTATTCTAATTTGATCTATTGCTGCTAGTTTCTCTGAATTCATTTTATCTGCTGGCTATAAATGTGTTGCTCAAATGTAGGAGAAACCTTGATAAATTTCTTTGTCCTTACTAACCATTCATATGCTCTATTACATACATGTATATAAACATATGATCTTTTTGATGATTGGTATAATGTTTATTTGATATACTAGAAACGTGAATTAGTATATTTGATAATTATAATATATTTAATAATTGATAATTTATGTCCTCGTGTGATATCTCAGCCAGTCCCGATTTCCAGCATGGTGAGACGATTAACGAAGGAACTGGACGTATATTTACTGTTCCTTATCCTTACTAGGTTTATTTGACCTCATGGTGATTTTAGCTTAATAAATCACTGTCTTGCTTTAATTTAGATTTAGTCCATAGACATTTGATACTGGGTTAAGAGCTTGAAACGGAATACCAAGTGGTGGCCATGCTTCACTCTGCCGAAGAAGGGAGGCCCATGCTTATAATAATTATCGTTATTAAAAAATTCCTTATTACTAGGAATATATTTTCAGTACCACTGTGCACGGCCCTATAATTGTAATCATTATAGTTCATTTTTTCCCAATTTCTGAACTCTATTGAATAAGGTTTAGTCCGTGTATTCATTCAAAGTTTACACTAGAGTTAGTGTTAAATATTTTAGAGTAATGCTGTGACAGAATGGAAACCTATTGTCATCTGTGATTGTGTTATGAGATCTATCCCAGCACCCAGTTATACTGATTGAGATATTTATAATTCCCAGATATTTTCAAACTGCGCAACGCACCTGTTATGAGTTTCGCACCAATGTCAATTTACTCCCTGATTCCCATTCTTTGTGATGAGAACAAATGTGGTTGAAATCAGAATACCTTGTGAAATGTGACTGTGTGTTTAAGCATGCTGTCCCTGTAAGGAGTCCTAATGTAGAGAAAGCAGAACAGTTCCCAGTTGAATGTTTTCTCTCTCTCTCTCTGTGATGTTAACTCATGTGCTTGATATTATCTTGAAGAAACTGATGGGGATGAAATATTTCTTACATTATGAGTATATATTATCTTCAGTTAATACCATTCTATACCCCCTCAAGAATGTGAACAATTGTTACTACCCTACTCCATGTGTGTGTGAGTGTAACAGTTTATGAGGACTGGGGGCATTGTGGTCCCTAGTGAGAACTTTGCCAACTGCTTGTACAGGGACTGTTCTATTGTTCTGGTTTCTGGTAGAGTTCCAGGTGGAAGTTCTAGCATAGCTGCAGGTGCCAGATTGTCTAAACTGGACTAGAAGATTCGACCTGCCTGAAATGTGTAGGCTAAGGCAGAAGCTGACCCAAGGAGCACAAAAAACAGATGAGTGGATATATCGGTCTTTTATGTCAACCAAGAACTAGTTTCATTTCCCATCCAATTCCATGATCCGACTTTCTAGATTAAAGGTTATAGATGTCAATTATCATTCCTCGTTTATGAAGTCTATTTTAACCGTAGTCAATTGTGTCAGTGGAACTATAGCTAGTATATTTTAGTACATTTAAATATACAATTTATTGAAACAGTGGGGAATCAGATGTGGTAAACCTCTACTTTAACCAACAATTTCGATTGCACATCATGCATTCGCTAGCATGAAGCGAATAACACGTCACATCTGGTACTACGTACCATAGCGATCCACATTAAAAGGTTACAGCCGGTATAGAGCGAGGAGGAAGACTTCGCAGAGATGGAGTGATGGCATAAAGAACAGCATTACAGAAATGAACATCAATCTTAACAGGGCTCCTGACAGAGCTCATCAACGAACGTAACGTACCCTTCCCCACCCCCACCCCCCCCCCCACCCCCAACCCCCACGCCTCGGTCACTTCACTAAGGTACAAGTCAAAAGAGAAGAAGAAAAAGAAGTTAGCAATGATGAAGAAAAGTCGAACCCTTGTGAGATGTGTTATCGCAGACTGCACATGTTAGAAGACCTAGGATCTACATCCTCTACATCACCAGTATCATCACCATCATCATCATCAACATTATCAACATCATCAACATCATCAACACTATTTATGTTTCACATAGGGCCCGCAATCTTCATTCTGTTCTATCCTGTCATGTTGTTCAATCCAGCCTTTTTTTCCCAAAACCATGATTCCGTATACTGTTGTGACGTGTAAGAAAAATAACAACAACAAAAGGTAGTGGCGTATCCCTCACAGAACGACACAGAATCAACAACATTGTTTCGTTGCTTGGTTTAACAGCGCAATTTTACGTTCATTAGCTTCCAATTTCTATTGAATAGTCTGCACTCAAAACCATTGCCGAAATCTACGCCAAGCGATCTGCTGCTTAATCGCCCGCAGCTGGAATCGAACCGGGTCTCATGGAATTAGGAAGCTGGTTCGCAAAGCCACAGACGCCGATGACATTTGATAAGGCCAAAGTTGTTCAGCCTCGGGGACCAAACGGATTTCAGCAGAATAGCTAGGCACTATAGTACCCAGAGAGCTGGGAAAATGCCACTCTGGACTCAAATGTCCATGTGGGTTCCGGGACCCCATTGTTGAGGAAAAACAAGAAAAAACGCCACTGCCTCTTTAACAAGCATGTCCTAAGAGTCGACTATGTGGGAGCTTTCTTCGGAGTCTGAGAGCATCTGCCTCAGAGGAAAGAAATCAACAATCCGTCTGCAAACAAATAAACAGATCTACAAACAAAATATAATAAACCACATAAACTACATACAACCATACTATTTTCTGACTAACTACTTACCCTCGCACTAGAATTTCAGTATACCCTCCTCTAGAGTTGGTAAAACTGCACGATTTTTTCCCAGTCGATTACAACTATAGAACTTACTCTAAAGCACAGCCTAAACAAAACTGGCAGGTCGTCAACTTAACAAACAGCGTTTGTTTCTGGGAACCGAAATTGGACTCGCCCACGCTAGCTGCCAGTTAGTAAAAATAGGTCACATCGCTCTTTCGTTTGTGCTGTTGTTGTTGTGCGGGGAGATAATCCAAGTGAAAACGCCTGAAAACAAGATAGTTCTAAGTTTGAAATATTATAGCTGAAATTCTAGACGTTACTTCTATATTTTAGCGGAAAGTCGTTCTTTAAGACCGCAAGATCGACTTGGGAACGATGATATCGGGAGGAGAATCGGCACAGACGCATTACTGAACTTTATAGGTAGTCAACAAACCAAATGGTTTAGCCATGTAACAAGATTGGCAGGAGACAGGGCCCCAAAGAGAGCAATGTTATGCATATACATTGGTAACAGACCCAGAGGTAGACCAGGCAGAAAATAGACCGCAGAAATATCAGACACAGAAATGTACTATACACGAAGCTAACAGAAGGGCCCGTTCTAGAGATCTGTTCCTTCCCCTGACACCGCGAGGCGTTCCAGGAGTAGAGAAACATAGAAAGAAGAGGAAGAAGAAGAACTCAAGAGAAGACAAGTAATTGCTGAGTCAATAATAATGTTAAAAAAGTAATCGTAGTAAACAAGAAACCGGAGAAAACAGTGATAAGATTGAGCTCAAAAAATTAGCCTACAGTAAACAGTGCCTGGGTCATGCAGCGTCTACAAACCGCATCTATCAGCTGGGTTAAAATACACACCAGAGTGGTTTGGTACAAAATAACATCGGTTACCAGGTCGACTTGGCTTAAACTGTGTACCCGAAACTGTCCTGGGAGGAATGTGTACCCGAAACTGTCCTGGGAAGAATGTGTGCCTGAAACTGTCCTGGGAAGAATGTGTGCCTGAAACTGTCCTGGGAAGAATGTGTACCCGAAACTGTTCTGGGAAGAATGTGTACCCGAAACTGTCCTGGGAAGAATGTGTACCCGAAACTGTCCTGGGAAGAATGTGTGCCTGAAACCGTCCTAGGAAGAATGTGTGCCTGAAA